ATATTTCCCATCTTTAGTGCTTCTTGAAACAATGACAGTGGTAGGTATAAAAATAAAACAGGCTTTGGAAATCTTGATTTGTAGGAATAAGTTTAATATATGCAATGGCACAAAGGGCTTGGTGCTTGGTGTTGGAACAAGATAGAACACTGATGTTCCTAGAATATGTAAAGGAGAAGGAAATAATGAGCCAACATCTTTTCCCCCTTAGTACAGACAATGATGCTGGGTATCTGCCAGATCAAGGCCAAAATTCTATGCAGGGAAGTGTAGCACTATGGTCCTGGGCCCTCTAGTGGCTAGTTCTTTTTAGCCAGTGGATACAAGACTATTGCTGCTTTGTTTTTGCTTTTTTGTTTTTGTTTGTTAGAACCAGTAACTGCCTCCTTCTGTATTCTATCATCTCATTCTTTTATCATAACCCACATCAACACCGAAGTAGGCTCAGTGTTAGTAGGGCAGTTCTTGAGAAGAGATTGGCTCCCTTGGAAACCAGGATGGAGAGAGTTACATACAGAAGGTTTCTTGGGGTGTACTCTTGGAAGATTTGTGAATAAAGAAGCAGGGAAGCTGAGTGTGGTGGTGCACACCTTTAATCCCAGCACTCAGGAGGCAGAAGCAGGTGGATCTCGGTGAGATTGAAGCCAGCCTGGGATGTTATGAGTTCCAGGCTAGCAGTGGCTTCAGGGGCACCCTGTCTCAAAAAAAAAAAAGTAGGGAAGCAGGAATGGGTAGATGAAGAAAGTTAACTCACAGTGTAGCTGCAACTGAAGCCTCAGTTGATCCCGAGGAGTTCTAGAACAGAGAGGGACCCTCAGAGTTATCCCCAACCAATGTTCATCATTGGTTGTCAGAGACCCCTAGGAAGAGGAATAATTTTTGGCTCATAGCAGTGTGCAGTGAAGGGTGTAGCTGTTCATCAGATACTAGTTTTTCTTCCCTTTTTCTTTCCTGTCCACTAATTTCTGCCTCTCTTATCCCTCAGCTCACTCTCTGCCATGGGGTTAACCATGGCTACAAATGCATTCTCTGATTCCATTCAGGCAGATCATGTTCTAGTTTCTCAGTAGCACTTGAAAGAAGATTCTTTTTGTATACAGGGTTGGTTTTGAAAGCCTTTCTTTGTCTCTTTCTCTTATGCTTAAACTGATATGTTAATATTACTGTCCAAATGAGAAGACCAGACTCAATGGTGCCAGAAGGGGGGAAAAAGATCAAAAGTCACATAGTTACATTCATGACAGACTTACTTATGTTCCATAGTCACTCTCCTAAAAACATTATCCAGAGTAGCAGTACTTCTTCCTTCTTGGCAGCATTATAAATGTTTTGATCTTGACTAGTCAGTCCTAGGGGGAGAGATGAGAGTGGGCCCCAGACCACTAGCTGTCTACCAAGCTACATTCTCACCTTCTTCCACAGCAATAGACATTTGGCTGGAACATGATTAGCTAGATAGGAACCTATTGGGCCAGCTTCTTTTGCAACCAGTTACACCCTAAGTCTTCATGAATGGAGCTGAACAGAAGAGATGGATGAAGCTTTTGCTATGCTTGCTTAAGAGTGAGTCTGTGGACCTGAACTTTGATTCTTTGTTTCTCCTCACTAAGCAGAAATGCTTCAACCAGAATGACTTTGGGTAACACATGCTAAAGTTGGTTGGTAGTGATTATTCTGGGTTGCTGGATAACCGAGTGGAGTATCACCATCAGAGCATCACCATCAACCAACCAACTTTGATCACCAGCCTTGGACCATACTATATTGGACTTCCTAATTACATCTTACCAATTCTTCATATCCCACCTCAGCTCCCACTTCAAATAAAAAACACTCATAAATATTTCCTTTTTCCCTTCTTTTTTTCTTCTGTGTACATGTTCATGTATGTACAGATAAATAAGTGTATGTGTGCATGTGGCAGCCAGTGGACAACCTCCACTGTCATTTCTCAGAAGGGTATTATTGGTCTGATACTCTCAAAGTAGGGTATACTGGTTAGCCACTGGGCACCAGGGATCTGCCTGTCTCCACCTGCCCAGTGCTGGGATTACAAGTATGTCTCACCATTCCCAACGTCTTTTATCAGAGTTCTGGGGGATCAAGCTCAGGTCCTCATGCCTTCAAGACAAGCACTTTACAGAATTAGCGATCACCTCAGCTCTCCCCTTTCCTTTTTTCGACCATCACGTGAATATCTCTTCCTCATGTATTCTGGTACCTAACTATGTTGTTTTCCTACTTCTTTCTATTTAGCGTTAACATATTTTTGTTCTTTATTTTGTGTGCCCTTCCCCTTCCCTCCTCTTATAAAAAATATTTCATTTTTTATTTTATGCGTATATTGTCTGCAAGTATATAAGTACACCCATGTTGTACAATGTTTGTGGAGGTCAGAAGATGGCTTTGGATCTTCTGGAATTGGAGTTATGGATGGTTGTTAGCCACTATGTGGGTGCTGGGAACTGAACCCAGGTCCTCTTCAAGAGCAGCCACTGCTCTTAACTGCTGAGTCATCTCTCCAACCCCATCCCCCTTTTTTTTTTTTTTTTTTTTTTTTGAGATAGGGACTTGTATAGCCAAGGCTAGCTTTGAACCATGTAGCTAAGGATAACTATAACTCCTGATCGTCTTACCTCTACCTCACAAGTGTTAGATTACAGGTGTGTACCATCCTGCCCAACTTCCTTCTTGTCTCTCAAAATAGAAGGAACTCTCAAGATGGAACACTCTGCTTCTACTCCCATTTCCCAGCTGGCACAACTGTGGTGCGTGCTGATGAAGTCCTACACAGGACCCCTTTGCCAGGCTGCAGGGAAAGTTGGCGGTCACCACCTTGGTACTGCCCCTTCCTCAGAGACTTGGCCTCAAGCAACTGTGAGCACACCTGGGAGATTAAGGACCCCTCTAGCAGTCAGCAGCCCCAACATGATACAGCAAAGGGCAGCCACCGAAGGTGGAACGACTCTGGCGAGCTTCAGAACCTTCCTCAGGAACCACACTGTTGCTAATCTCCAACCAAGGGCACTTCTCCCTTAGTTTGCTTTCACTGTGCTGTCCTGGACAGTTCACTTCTGCCAACCTCCTTAGATTTGTCCTCAGCTGATGAGAACCCCCTTGCAACCTTCCTCTGGTCTCCCCAGCTGAGTAGGTGGCTCACAGTCGATGGCTGGCTGATTGAGGAATGCAAAAGTTTCCATTGTGTCAAAAAGTATATGTTCTGCCATAAAGTTTATGTCCCAGCCCACATGTAACAGTTCTGTGGACCAGAAGGCAGCTAGACATAACCTGAGATGGACTTTGTTTGGCTCTCTCTTTTCCTTTCCCTGTGTACTTCACTCTGTCCCTCGTACATTTTTCCTACACAGCACTCCTCATCAGTAAACACCTCTCTTAGGTTCTCTTTCTAGGAAATTCAGCATCACTGTTGTCAATCCTTTGCTATTATTTTCCCAGATTACTTAATCATTCAGTTCTGGGGCATTTCAGGTGAAGGGTTTGTCCCGAAGGCACTAGGTAAAAAAAGAAGTGGGCTTTTTTTCAAAGTAGTTGTAGAAAATACCTGCTGTGTAGAATCATTTGAGGATTTGTAATATTTTATTTATTATTTTATGTGTATGAGTGTATTGCCTGCATGTAAGTTGCATTGCCCATGTCATGCAATGCCCCCAGAGGCCGTCAGATTCCCTGGAACTGGAGTTAAGAACAGTTGTTAGCTACCATGTGAGTGCTGGGCTGAACCTGGGTCCTCTGCAAGAGAAGCCAATGCTCTTAACTACTGAGCCATCTTTCCAGCCCCCATTATGAGGATTTAAAAAACAGAGTTCAAGACATGGAAAATGCCTCTATCACTGCCTGACACATAATAAATTCTTGAAGTTCCACTTTGTTTGTGTATTACAAATGTGATTACCTGTAGACACACAATAAATACCTGTTGAATGCTTTTGAGAATCAAAGTGATGTGCTGAGATTTGGCCAGCAGAGGGCAGAACCAGCGCAGGCAAAGATCTGATGGGCTGAGTGAGATGAACAGACAGAACTCCCACACAGTTGGGCTGGGGCAGACCTGGGGGAGAGCTGAGAGGAATGCCTTTATCATAACATAAAAAGAGCCCCTTAAAATCCTACAATTTTGTTTAGTCCAATCCTCAGCAATGAAATACACTGAACCTATTTTGTGAATCAAACATAACTAGTTCTAGGTCCTGAGAGTTGCCTTAGTGGCTGTAACTTCTCTTTTGAATTTGTGAGCTTCCCCATGCCTCTCATAAAGCTCCCTCTGTGCTCATGCTAGCATGCATTGGGTTTCTATAACTTGCAAGCAAAAGAATATGAATTATTTTATTAAGTCCTATTACATATATATGTGGAGTGCCTCCTCCACAGATGGGGACACTGGTCATACAGCAGTGATAGTGGACCAGCTTCGCGCTCCTTCTTCCTGGGTCTGCTCCCAAGCTTCCCTTGTCTTATTTTCTCCATCCAGTTATCCCATTTAGATCTGTCTTATATTTCAAAGCTCAGTTCAAGTCCTGCCTTCCTCCAAATCCTCTGGATCAACTTAATCTCGTTTTTCAAAATGCTAAGAGCATCTATCACCTGACCATTCACTGTTATATGCAGTCCATATTTTATTTGGATGTTTTGAGTGGATAGCCTCTAAAGTTCTTTCAACTGTAGACTTCAGAATCTGTTGTTTTGCCATGTCATGTGTCCTTAATGAAGCCACTTCTCCCTCAAGAAGAGATGAAGAGCTGGATCACACAGAGGACTCAGGATGATGTGGCAGAAAGTCAACTGCTCATGGGAGGATGTGCTCTGTGAGTCCACTCAAGAAATACAGAAGCATTTATTTTAAATTTTTAAAGATTTATTTTATGTATATGAGTGTTTGCCTGTTTGTATATAAGTGTACCTCATGTGTGCCTGGTAGGTGCCCATGGAGACCAGAAGAGGGCATTGGATTCACTGGAACTGGAGTTATAGATGGTTGTGAGCTGCTGTGTTGGTTATGGGGACTGAACTCAGGCCTTCTGCAAGAGCCAAGTGCTCTTAACTAAGAACAATCTATTCTTATTTTTTCAAAGTGGAAGCAGCCCCCCCCAACCTTTAGAGTGCAAGTGTCATACTTTGAGTCATATGAGTCAAATAAACTGTGATAGGTTTTGATGAAGTGGAAAGGGAAAATCACTTATAACCCTATGCCACTGAGATAGCTGCTATCAAAATATTCTTTCAGAGTTTTGCTGGATACAGATATGTATGTTTCAGTGGAGGTCTTCTGGAAACCACAGAGAGATTCCTCAGACTGAAATCAGACAAATAGAATAGTGAGTGGTTCCATTCCTTGGATTTGGAGCAAATAGCTGGTAAAGAATTATCTCACCCTAATGTATGAATTAGGTTGAACCATGTGAAACCACTGATATTCAGCTAGTTTTGATCTATAAATAGCAATTTTACATGCTTCAGCATAATGTATGTAAATCCTGAAAGATCAGAACTGATAAACCATTTAAACTTTCAAGTCTTACTATTTCATTATACTAAAAGGGACAGGAGAAGTATCCAGCTAAAGTCATATACCATATTAGAAGCAAGATGCTGGCTGGTTCTCCCATTGAACCAAGCCTTTCACATACTGCATCTTTTAATGTGGTAATTTCCTAGGTGTAATCACAACCTTCTAGAAGCAAATCTCAACTTGTTGTTTGAAAATTTCTCACAGAGTTCAGTCAGAGTAGAGGAAGCCACATCAGAGGTAGTAAAGTCCCCATTACTGGAAACATGGCTGGGAAAGGCACAGTGACATGGCTCAAGATGCACATGGACCATGTTGCTAATGAGGTGTAGCATTCAGGACCATACACTTTCACAGTCTCTGTCTCAAGGTCCTAGGAAGTACCCTAGCAACCGTGATAGGTTTTTGATAATATTTATGAAAGTAAAATATTCTGAATTATTTTCCCCCTAAGATGAGGCTTGTTGTGTAGCTCAGGCTGGTCTTAGACTCCTGAGTTCAAATGATCCTTCCCCTCAGCTTCCTGAATGCTGGGATTGCAGGGTACACCACCATTCTTAACCTCATGTTCTTGGATCCTACCCCATATGAAAAGTCCTGGACAAAGAGACCAGAGTTCTGGGTTCCAGTCATGGCACTTGCTCTGCTATCTTGGCAGGTAAGGTGAAAATTACAAACATTAAATGCATTTTAAAAACAAAAGGTAAATTAGTACAAATAAGCAATATTATTCAGATTTTATCTTAGCTTCTTATGTTGAAGCTTATACATTTAAAAATATGTGTCCCCTGAGCATCTTCCTGTTTCATTTCCCTCTGCTACAGTTTCCTCTTCTGGTCACTGGTTGTTATAGTTCATAATTCTATATATTTGTTCATGGGCTCCCAGTTTACAATATCTATCTTTGTTTGGAAAATGTCTTATCCACAAGGCCTAGGCCTGCCAGCCCCTCTTCTCTAGCCCCAGTGATGACCTCTCTTACCAATGTCTTGTTGATCTTATATAGACACACTGATGTGGTCCATAGATATGTTCTGAAGGCCCAAGAAGACAGTCCTCCTCGGGTGTTCTGACCTTTCATCGTCCTCAGGCACCTCACATCAGATCATAGACACACGGTTTTTGATGTACACATGATAGGGGTCACTACGCTTGTCCACTTTGCGTGAACGGGTGTATCCCAGGATGAGGCTGCCCACAGTGATAGCAAACAGGAACATGACGAAGAGAATATACATGTAGGAGTTGTCATTACGGCCAGGGAGGCTAGATCGCAGCTCCTCAGTCTGATTGTCCAGCCCTGTTCCTGACCCTGCTCCTGGTCGGCACAGCAAATGACTATGGAGGGTGGTGTTCAGAGCCTTCAGCACAGCGTGCAGGCTCTTGTACCAGGTCTCGGTCCCATTAGAAGTCTCCATAGCAACAAAAATTGAGGTAGCGGAAGAACTGGGGTATGATCTGATGGTGAGAGAAAAAGGGGAAAGGGATAGCTTCTGTTACCAGCAGCTTGAATGACTTCCCCACTTTTCCGACCAAGGCCAGAACCCCAATGTCATAGTCTTGTCTCACTATTTGTTTACTTACTGTCTTCTCCACTGAACAACAAGCTCAACGAAAGCCAGTACCAAGTCTGCTTTACTCACTGCTACATAGGCACAAAAGCATCCCGTAAGTGCTTGTGGAACAGAGCCTTTCCTGACCACTGAAAGCCACATTGACCTCTCCTTTCCTTGGATTGCATACATTCACTGGACTTTAGGTTACAAATAAATTATTTACTCTAACTCCTTCCATTCTATGCACAGGGAGTCTGAGAACCCAAATAAGTAGTTTGCTCATGATCAGGGAAAGTAAAGGTGGAACAAAAGTGTCTATTTTCAGGACTTCTTGACAGGCCAAACACCCACAATTTGATGACTGGTTCCAAAGCCCTCTTTCACCCAGCTAGAATTGTTAGCAAACCAAAGTTATGAAACATGGCTGTTAACTATATGTATCTCCCCTAAAAAAGATAGTTCTGACCATGATAAATATTCATGAATGGCTCTATGCAGAATCTGGGGAACAGAATATAAACAATACAGCAGCACCCTTTGCCACCCAGGACTGGCCCACATTCTATGCAAGGCCTTTGAGGCCATCTGCCCTCTGCCAGCCAGTACTTATGCTGGACAAAAAAGAGGAAGTGAACAAGGACTTCCTGAATTAAGATCTAGGAGGCAAGAAAGCTATGTTTTCCCTCACATGAGCCAGTGGCAAGTAAAGCACCAGAATGAAATGAACTGATGAATCACTCAGGCGATCATTATTTTCCTGGGCCAGGTCCTGTGTTAGGCCCCTGGGGAGGCTCAAACCCAGTCCCTACACTCAAGGATTCACTGCTAGCCTAATACAATGCAGGTGAAAAGGCAGGAGCTACTTACAGGAAGAAGTGATTAATTCTGCTTGGGGCTCAGAGAATGTTCACTGTGCTAGAGATACTGGATTTAGACCTTGAGTTTTAGGACATAGGGAAGGTAAAGGAAGGAAAGAGATGAGCAAAGTTGCATCAAGTATGTAAAATGGGTAGAAGGGTAGATAGGAAGCGAGACAGGAAAAACTGATGGAGTCAGATAACAAAGGGCTGTGAGTGTCATGCTACAGTGATGCCAACTACAAAGTTAAGTTCCTTTAAAAATACCATGGCATTTTTAAGCCGAGTGTGGTAACGCATGCTCTTAATCCCTGCACTCAGAGGCAGAGGCAGAGGCTGGTGGATCTCTGTGAAACGGAGGCCAGCCTGGCCTCCATAATAAGTCCAGAAGACCCATGCTTAGAAATAATATTCTGGTTGTTCTGTGGACTGGAATATATGAAAATTGAGGCAGGCCCAATGACAAGAGTGTTGTGATTGTTTAGTAGCAAGGTACTAAGTCTTGAGCCAGAACAAGAAGGGATGATAGACAGGGGCTGGGACAGAGGTGAGATGAGAAAGGGTGTTTGGAGGAGGGAATGGCTAACATAAAGGTTGAAGGAAGAAGGGCCTCAGACAAGTTTACAGACAGACATCAGACAAACAGCAGGGTTGTAGAGAGGCCCACTCTGAGGGAAGCAAGTTAGTTGCATCACTGAAGTTGTTAGACAATGGGTACGTTTCTGTTGCAAGATGAAAAAAACTCCAGGGATGTAGTGCGTACAAGGTGAAAATAGTTGACGCTACTGTTTAAATGGTTAACATGGCAAATTTTGGATTATATAATTTTTTACTATAAGTGAAACAAAAAAGGTTAACATCCTTTTTATTATGTTGAAGAGAATTTTGTTTTCATTTTTAAAAGTAAAGGCATATACATAGGGTTTTTTTTTTTTAATGAAAGCAGTACATACAATGAAGGTGAGCTCTCCCTGTTCCTAGTCATCCAGGGCAGTCACTAACGGTCAGTTTTCTTCAGTGTCCTTAGAAAGGGTTTTAACAGGCAGGGTAAAGGAAGGGAAATATCTATCTGGAAAACTTACCAGACAATACACAAACTCTGCTGGCTCTGCAACATCTTTAAGAATCCCCTTGTGGAAGTTCTAAGGCTCCTCGGCTGCCAGGCTTCTACAGGATGCATCTGGATACATCCGGAGTTTTAGTATTGACTTCAGATGCTGAAGGGCCCAGACCTAGAAAATGGGGAGGAGGCAAAAGAAGAGGAAGAAAAAGGAACCAGATACACAAAAACCTCACACCCAAGGTAGAGCACCCAACGTCAGTTCCTAAGGTTGTGCAATAGTCTTGCTGTGGGTTCTGATCCCTTCCCATTCTTCTTCCCTTTCTGCAGCAGCTGGGTCAGGCCAGTCTAGGGTTGTACTTACAGGAACTATGCAGTGGCCAAGGGACATCTGATTGTTGTCTCCCAGTTCTAGGCTCACAACATCTTAACTGAATGACTTCCATGAGAAACCTCTACTTAACATGTGGTCTCCTGGGCAGACACTAGCCAATGGTATAGCCTAAAAACCTTCCCCTTCCCAAGGGCACTGGTACCTTAGCAAGAGTCTTTTAGAATCCCAAGAAGATGATGTGAGTGGTAGAAAAGCAGTCAGCAGTTATATAAAGATAAGTGATGCATTACCAGTCAAATCTGTTTGGACAGACAGGCTATAAATGTAATCCAGTGGGTCAGTAAATTGGCTCAGTGGGTAAAGGCACTTGCTACCAAATCTGACGACCTGAGTTCGATCCCCAGGACCCATATGGAGGAGACAGCTGACTCCCACAAGTTGTCCTCTGACTTCCACAGGCACCCCCCTCCTAAATAAATGTAATAAAATTAAAATAAATGTGCCTCAGAGTTAACTCCTCTGTAGCATGGCTTTGATGTGAAAATCAAAGAATAGTATGCAAAGCTTGATCTAAATGCCACAGGTGGTGGTGGTGTTTGTAGTGCAGGAGCAGGAAGGATCTTCAGAATTCATCAAGTCTTAATGTCTTCATTTTACAATGAAGGAAATGGAAACCCAGGCAGCTGTCTTGGTCCAGCTGCTACATGTGTGACTTTGGGCATGTGACTTCCAGTTTGGGACCTTAACTTCTATCTACATCTTCAAAATGAAGGGGTCATGGCAATGTCCGATGTCCTGTGACAGCATGAGTCACAAAACCATGCTGAAAGATCTTGGGAGATTTCCTTGACTGGTAGAAGAGACAGCCTTTGTTAGACTTCTAGAAACTTTCAGATCCCAAGTCAGGGAAGGCTGTAGAGCTTTCATCAAAGCTTAAGATAGTCCCAAACCCCGGAACTGACTCACATCAAATATTCCAATCTGGATAAACTGGGTGAAATTGATTTGTTCACTTTCCTCTTAACAGCTAAGCTGCCGGGGTGTTCTATCCTAAGGAGGGGACAGAGTATGTGGAAAGTAGGAGGAGGAGGAGGCAATGTAAAGAGCAGGATGGGCTCTGAGGTGGGGTTCACCGAGGGAGAAAGAGTCAAAAAAACCTTTCACCTATCAGACCTTCCCTCCAGGGCCTACAGGATGCTTGCAGTTCTGATTGGAGGAGCAAAAAGCAATAGTTATATATCTTTAGGTGCTAGGATTGGGTGGGGATAGTAAACCAGGTACTGGGCATCCTGTTTGGATAAGGAGAGGCAGAGAACTGATGAATGAACAAATTAGTTTCCTATAACCTGCCTCTGGGTCTCAAGTGATGGATCAGTTTGGTAGGAAAGTGAGCAGTTACCGAGCAAGCTGAAAGGCACTTTAAATATTGTCCACAGTCTGTATTCTAGGCCCATATGTCTATTCCGAAGTTGGAAAAGCTGATTCTCCAAAAGGGGAAGTTACTAGTCTAAAATGGCACAGCCAGTAAATGACAAAACTCAAATGGGAGCCCAGTCTATAGAGTGGTGACTGAATGTCCTTTCCACTGCAAACAGTAGTGTTTTCTTGCATCTGAGTTGCACACCACACCAAACAGACTCCTCAAGTCCTGGGGCATTGTTTCCTGTAAATCCATTATGACTACCTTTTCCTGAACTGAAGATCCTTACCAGTCTTAGTCAAGGACCAATAAAGGTAAGTCTTAGAAGAGCAGTTCGATTATCTCTATCATCTCAGGGTAGATCACCTGGTAGGTGAGCTGCTCTGAGCTGGCCCCTTCTGCTCCAGATCTATGTGAGACCCCTGTGGCTCCCTCCCTCCTTCCACTCATGCCCCTTCTATTTCCCTCACGTTAACGCATTCTCACTAAATGACCTAGACTTGGACTTGCCCAGCTTCTAACTTGGGGGTTGGAACAACCAAGCTTTGATCTGAGGATGAACTGAGTATGTTGGTTTTTTTGAGACAGGGTCTCCCTGTAGTCCCAGCTGACCTGGAGCTTGTTATGTAGACCAGGCTGACCTTGATATCACAGAGATACACCTGCCTCTGTCTCCCGAATACTGGGACTAAAGGCATGTGCCACCACACCTGGCTTCAGACTGTTTTCTTAATCGGGAATTCCCTTCCAGTTCTGTTCAGCAAACCCCTTTTCACCATTCAAGACCCAGCTCTATTGGCACCTATTTAAATCCTTTCCTGAGAGATCTCCTCCCCTACTCAATAGCCAGTTAGTTTCTTTTGTCTGTTACCAAAGTGCTTTGTTAAAAAGCTTCATTAGAACACTGTGCTGTACTGAAATTGTGGGAGGGTATAAATGTGTGGGTGCATGCATGCTGGGAGGTATGAGGGCATACCTGGGCCTCAGGTATTTCTTTAGTTTCTGGGCCTATGTACATAGCAGACACTGAAGAGTAAATGAATCAATACCTCATCTATAAGAGCATTCCCGCACTAAATTACCCTCTCCCAGAGATTTGTGGAAACAGCTTTCAAGGCTTTAAAAAAAAAAGCAAAAGCAACTTCATGGCAGGTGAAGACAAGGTTCATTCTAGCGAAAGGAGAAGCTCTTTGCTCAGGTGGCATGAGTTAGGGGAGGGAAATTCTGAGCCTTTTCTGGAAGTCCAGACACTTCCTGCATCTGATCTGAACCCATTTAATCCAAAGGGCAAACATTCTTGGCCCCCAAACACCAGTAAATGGCTTTGCAACCGTCTTTCCTGTGTACCTACTTAAGGTGTGGCCATCCACACCCACAAATTGCGCACACACAATCCCAGTCCCAGTCCTGGCCTCTGATCTTGCCTTTCAAGGGTGCCTTTCATGATTCCAATCTTGGCTGTATGTTTGGCTATATGACCTTGAATAATGCATTTATTTCCTCAGAACCGCATCTGTAAGATGGAGGTAATTATCCATGCTCTGCTTACCTCATAAGAACTGGAACAGACAATAGGTGGGAAAATGTTTTAGAAACAGCAAACACAAGAGACACACGTTACTGGGCAGCCAGATCACATCATTCCCCTTGCTATCTCCATATGTCACCGCACCCCATGTTAACAAGAACAGTCATCTCTATGCGCCCTTTGCCTGCCCTGCCTCTCCTACCCTCCATAGGAGCCAGGGGGTTCTTGTTACTCTTCCTGAATCTCAGAGATGTTTGCTTCCTTTAGAAGCCTTCCTTACTTCCCATCCTCTCTCGTGAACCCTGTCATCCTTGCCATTTAGAAGTGTCATCTGACATCATGGCATTGGCCTCTATCTGGCAGGTACGTCTAGCCATGTGTAGGATGGAGGTGCTTTTCCTGTCTTGCATCCCCCCTTGGAAGGTATTTTAAGGAAATGTGCTTTGAGAAGTGTGAAATAGAGTTGGTTGTCTGTTGGTGTTGATCTTAAGGAGTCAAGAGACTCTAAAGCAGTTTTTAATGCCTCCCTCACAGTGCCCCTCTGTTAGGAATTGACAACGTGGCTCGTTGCCAGAAGGATTAACAGTATATTCAGTATCTGTAAGTGAAATAGAGTCTCGGCTATCAGTGAGGAAACATGAGTTTTAATTCTGTTTAGCCCCTGGTATGACTCTAGGTAAGTCATCTCCAGGGCCTCTGTTTCCCCACATTCAATTAATGAGGAGTAGGAAGTGGAGGATTAGGAGGATTTACTCTACCTGGGCTCCCATACCAGGACTTCACAACTTCTAGATGTGGGTTGTGTGGGACAACTGGAGCAGGAGACCCATTTTACAGGTGATGACCTAGGAAAAGAAAACACAGAGCCACAGTTGACGGGCACAGGTTTACACTACTTGAAAACTAGAACCCAAGACTCCTGATTTCCAAACTAAACCTATGTTACTAACAGCAGAAGACGCCTTCTGGAGTTCCTAGGCTTCCTCAGAACTGGTTGGGAACTGGGTCGGGGAGAGTTAGTCTCAGTGGAATAGAATGGGCAAGTCAGCGTCTTTGCCCAAGCAAGAAAGACTGACTGCTAGGAGTTCTGGAATGTTACTTCCGGTGTGCACTTGCTGTGGACCAGCAGGTGTTCTCTTGCATATGTAGGCGGGGAGGAGTTTTGCTGCCTTCGGCGAGTGCAAACCTCCCACGATTTCCCTGTGCAGTGTGCAAACCCAGCTCCCACTCACGCGTGCTGCCCGAGGATCCCTGCTGGTCTGGGGAGGGGGGTACTCGCTCGGTGCTGGAGCTGCACCCCATGTTGAGTCCTCTCGCTCAAGGAAAACACATCCCAGACCACGCCAGAGAGACGGACGCGCCCACATTTGCAGCCTTGACAGTAGCTCAGCTTTTCCAACCCTGTGGGTGCGCCTTACCTGCCAAGGCTCCGGGGGCGCCCTCTGCTCCGGGGTGGCCTGGGCACTGCGCGCCTAGAGCTCTTCTGTGTTCTGTCTCCTCAGGGCGCTCGGGTGATGCCCAGTGCGACCTCACAGCTCTGCACTCCTACCCGCTCTCTCCGCTCCCTTTTTCTCTTCCCAGGGTGTCCCCTCCCCCGGCCACGCCCTGCCCCAGCACACCCACCTCTCCCCAGGCTGGCTTCAGCGTCCCCGCCTAGCTCCTTAGCCTTTCCATCCCCTGAACCGCCTGCTTTCCAGACCTGCGACCGAAATTTTTTCGATGTGTCACTTTGTCTCAACCTAGCAAAAAGCGGATTTCCAGAAAGCCGGGCCAAGTGCTGGGAGTTGGTGGACTCGGGCTTGGCACCTGTGTGGCTGTGTGGCACTGGGCAAGTCACCGCTGCTCGCTGCGCCTTGACTTCCCGGCTGTAAAATGGGTACCGCTCCTACATGCGTTCTCCACAGGCTTATGGCAGGGTCAGAAGTGTTCTCAGATTCCAAAATACTAAACCTGAAGTGTCACCAGAGAAAACATCTGATTCTCACACAAAGACCTGTTTTCTAGACAGGATGCAGACACTCAAATTGGGGAGGTGACTTGTCTACACTCACCAAGCAAGTAAGTCAGTCTGTCGCATAGCTCAGGCTCAGAATCCACACACCCCAGCCGGTGTCTCCTCCCACAGCAGTCCCTTACATGCCTGACCAACTGGTGTCCAGTCACCACTTAACTGGTGTTTGTCCTAGAACAGGCTTCATTTTCCCCACCAAGCTTTCACTTAAACTGTTGCTGGTGACATTACAGGCAGCTGAGAAAACAGGGAAAAGACAGAGGCAGGGAGCAGCCTCTCCGGGACTTCGTAGGAGCCACTTATCCAAGCTTTCTTTACCAGCCCAGGGTCCCACAATAATTAAAAAGCCCACACAAGCTCTCTCGCACCATTGCAAAGATCTGATCCAGTATTTCTGCGTCACATACTTTCAACAGAATTTTAGGATGTGGTGATTTAAGAAGTGCTGTCATAGGAAGAAAAGACCTACCATATGGCAGGCATTGTGTGTAAAATTGCTAATTTCTTTCCAAACACCCAATATCTGTGCCATTTCTGTGGTCATACATTTTGACCCAGCCATTCCTCCTTATGTTGAAGATAACCTCTTGGAGACATCGTCCTGGTCACCTGGGCATGCACTCTCAGTTTTCAGTCGCCGGGGGTGGGGGTGGGGGGGCTTGCATCAGTAAAGTAGACTTTGTTCTCAGCTCCAACTCCAGAGGCTCTCTGATTCATGAGATCTGGAGAAGAGCCCAGAAATCAACATTTCTAAAAACAAGATTTTCAAACACTGATACAAATGGAGCTTAAGACTAGACTTGATGGCTGGAGAGATGGCTCAGAGGTTAAGAGCACTGGGTGCTTTTGCATCTGTCCTTAACCAGTTGATTCCAATGCCCTCTTCTGGCCTCTGCAGGTATTGCATGCGCCAGTGTACTGATCTATACATTCAGGCAAAACACTCATAAAATAAATAAAAATAAATAAGCCGGGCGTGGTGGCGCACGCCTTTAATCCCAGCACTCGGGAGGCAGAGGCAGGCGGATCTCTGTGAGTTCGAGGCCAGACTGATCTACATAGTGAGTTCCAGGACAGCTGGAGCTACAGGGAGACCCTGTCTCAAAAAGACAAAAATAAATAAACAAATAAATAAATAAATAAATAAGACCCCAAATGTTTTTTTAAAAAAGACTAGCCTCGAGAAAACAGTCCCAACTCAGCCAGGGCTCCCTCCAGATAGTTCAGGGCCCTTCATTCAGGACATAGTACTATTTATTACAGTTACTGAAAGCAACTACCTGTCCACCTCTTCTGGGCAGCTAGATGATGTCATGGTTGGCTTCAGTTGTCAACTTGGCACATCTGGGAAGGGGGAACCTCAGCTGGGAAACGTCCCCTATTGGATTGGCCTGCGAGGCATTTTCTTGATTGTTGAATGCTGTGGGAGGGCCCAGTCCACTGTGGGTGGTGCCACCCCTGGGCAGGTGGGCCTGGGTTATACAAGAAAGCAGACTGAGCACAGGCCAGAGAAGCAAGCTAATGAGCCTCCATGGTTTCTGCTTCAGTTTTTGCCTTTAGGTTCCTGACTTCCTTCAAAGATGGACTGTCACTTGGAAGTGTAAGATGCTATAAATCCTTTCCTCCTCAAATTGTTTTTGGTCAGAGTATTTTATCACAGCAATAGAAAGCAAACTTTTATGGACAGTTAATACTCTGAAGACAAATTCATCCTCCTGTTTTGATATATTTTAGAATACTAGATTTGGGTATATTGCATTATAGGGTTCTAGAGTCATTTAGCAATAGAGCCTGATTTGGAAGGACTCAGTTTTCTAGTCAGTACCTTCACCTAGTGGATCCTGTACATGTCACACCTCACATGTGGCTGTCCAGCTACTGAATAACAGGATAGGAACTTATTGCCTCCAAAGCAGAATGATGAACATACCAACATCTTAACCAAAAGCTGCGATTTCTACTCATTGGTCTTTTTACCCATTGGAGCCATGAAGTATTAACCTAATCTTTGTTTCCTGCCTTAGTCCTTCAGGGTTTAAGGTCTATACTCCACTTCCCCTAGTCTGTGGTGAGGACAGGCAGGAACCCTGTTCAGGAAGGCAGCTGACCAAGGAGCTGTTGGAAAATAGTCTGAGCTGCCTCATTTCCCTCAATTGTGCTTTGAAGATTTGCTATGAGGCTAGATGAAGTATTGTGCATAATGTGGCCAGAGCTGGTCATAGCATATGTGTATAATAAATGGCATTGTTCCTGGATTAGAGAGGGAAGGAGATAGTAGTTTCTGTCCTTGAGGAGCCTATGAGAGGAGTGCCTTAATCTAAAGAGATAAGGTCTTGACATTAGGATGGGAATGGGAGGGAGAGGAGTGAAGACAGAGGCTAGGTTGAGCTGACTTCAGAATTCGGGGCTCACCTAGAGACATACCTCCTTCAAGACTTGGCCAATATACCACCTTCTTGTTGAATCCTTCCTTAACCATTTATTTCCTATCTCTCCATTTTCTTACCCCCAACCCCTTCTCTGTTTTGTGTTTCAATTGCAACTTCTACCATGTGTGTACTGGAGATTGAACTCAGGTCATCAGGTTTGACTTAACAAGTACCCTTAACTTTTTGAACCATCTCACTGTCCCTCTTGCTTTTATTTTTAGTCTGTTGCTAGTGTTCTGACTGCACCCTCAGTTGAGGTTCCCATGTCCCCACTAACCCTCTCAGAGCTCTTCCTGACTCTCCATTCCTAGAACCACCTTTTCTCTTTACTATCAGGCTTAAGAGTGGCAATGATGCCCAAGTGTTTCAAGCCCCAGGATACCTTACTCCTTATGGTTTCCCACTCTCTGACCATTGCTGAATACAGCCTTTGAAGACTGCTGTCATGAACCATGACTGCTACCGAGGCTCAGTTTGCTGCTTCTACAGTCCCTTGCACTTCCTTAAATACTAAGCATTCTGGATTATAATTGTCTAGTTAATTTGTTGACGCCACACCTGGAACAAAACTCGTTTGGGGTGTCAAACCATTCCTAGCCCAAACTTTGCACAGAGTAGATGGTAGTATAAATTTGCTGAATGAATGAAGGAGTGATGGTCATGAAAGGGGAAATCACTAGGAATTGCGTTCTCTGAGAAAATTTCCAAGAAAAGATAGAACCTAAGAAAGCCTTCAAGGATAGCAGTGTGCTTCTCAATCTTTTGACTAAATCCACTAAGCATCAGACTCCCAGATCTAACAACTTACTTAATGTCTCATGTGACATGTTGAGACCACCTCCATCTTCTGCCTCTAGCACTGTTATCCATTCAGTTCTCTGCTTTCTTCACAGAACTCAAGTCAATCTTCAGTTTATCTGATTTGGGGTCTGCCTTTTCCATTAGACTGTAAATTCTCTGAGAACAGAGACCAGGTATGTATTTTCACCATAGTATTCCCAGAGTGGAAGTCACTGTCTAGTAGGTAGGAGAGAAAGAAGGCTTGAGGGTAGGGTGAATACGGAGGAGTCTGTCAACATCTTAGAAGCCTGGTGATTCACCAGGAGAAATGGAACATGCAGCAGAGGTTTAGTGATCACATCAAGTTACTGATACTAGGTACTCATGAGTCCAGACTCGAGTTCAGGCCAGGGACATGCCTCTAACGACAGTCATGCTGTAGTATCTGTGGAGGACTGGTTCCAGGAACCCTGTGAATACCTCAACCCAAGAAGTCTTTTGTATTAAAATGGCATAGGATTTACATATAGTCTACGCACATCTTCCAGAATACTTTAAATCATCTCTAGATGATTTACAGTGCCTAGTACAATATAAAGTTATAGAAATAGTCTGTGTCCTGTATTATTTTGGGAATAATGACAAAGATAGTGTTCATATTCAGGACAAACTGGGGATATGCTTCGGTTGGTAGCATGCTTGCAGCACTCATGAAGCCCTGAGTACAACCTCCAGAACTATATAAACTGGGCGTGGTGGCACATGCCTGTAATCCCAGCACTGAAGAGTTAGGGGCAGGAGGACTAGAAGCCCAAGTTCATCCTTGGCTACATAGAGAATGAAACCTTGTCTCAAAAAACTGAAAAAAACAATATTCAGGACAAAGGCAATTTTATCAATCCAACCTACTAGATGTGAAACCTATGCATAGAAGCTGGGAAACTTCTTCTGAGCCTCAGTTTCCTCTTCCAAAAGCAGGGTTAGTAATGCAACCTTTGTTTTTTAATTTTGTGTGCAGGTGTTTGAGATATCCTGGGCCCTCATGTGTTGGGCTAAAGAGGGGTGATGGTTGAGTTGAGATGATTGGAATATCAACAACTCTTGCCACACACTCAGCATTCCACAGGGCTCTGTTCATTCTCTGACTGTGGATTAGAGCCATGTGTCACACAGGGTCCCAGCATGAAACAGACATTAGGCAATTTGAGCAAGGTATGATGAGTGCTTAGGAAATCAACAAAGACAGTGTAGTTCACCTGGTTAGCAGTGGTGGGCCAGCCCAAGAAAGAAAGGTTGAGGGGATGAAGGAGTTCCAGGAACTTGGAGAGGGCAGCACTGGGGCACTGGG